GGAAATTGATACTACCGCCTAGAGTGGCGTTCTGGGGGCGCTTTTGTAGTTTCCCTATCTACCATCTGCGGCTCGTTCAGCCGACAGCACTTTTCTCATACGCACATCCGAGAGTGACAAGCTATAATGGAAAGTCATTCGCTCAGGGTCAGCTGTGTGGAAAAACAGTGGGGAGCCACACTGGAGCATTTGGTCTAGCTGAAGTTGGCCCGCCGCAATTTACGGGAAGTGAGATAGCTTTTTCATGGTTCCAAGGGATTGTTATTTTATTGTCTCGATTTTCATTGTTCACAGGGAATTTTATCTTATTCTAATTATTTTGATGTTATCATTTATTTATTTAATACATTCATGCTGCTGCTTTCTGAATATTTAATTAGTTTCTACCCATACCTTGTGTGCTACAAGGAGGGATTAGCAGAACTAATGTCATGCTGATTCTAATGAAATTCCTCCACATAAGGGAAAGATGCGCTCGATTTTGAGTTCAGGAGGAATTGTCCAAAAGTATAATGATTTTAGAACCATTTTCCACGAAAAGGGTTCTAAAAAATTTTCCTCTCCTTTTATCACAACTAATTTCTTAGAATGCTCCCAGCAATCTCTACGAGTGTCTAACTCTTCATCTGAATCGAGTGAGGTGGAGAGTGATAGCTAAATAGATAACAGCAGGGGGGGNGNGGGGGCGAGAAAGACGGCGAACACTTCAGAAAATCATTGATAAAGTAATCATTTCAAGCTCTTTCTAGTGAGTAGACGCCATCTGTTTGCGCTTCATTGTATTGTCACTGGACCCTATGATTATGCAGCGTATTGTTTGAGTGGGAGTGAACAACTTATTTATTACTTATCTCGTCACTTTGCATTCATCTGCAGCTCGCGAAACTTTTCCATAAACCAAGCCCATCAACCATGTTGCTATTTTCTCAAATTTTGTTATACGATATCGTTAGGGTGGAGTCATGGATTTGATGACTGATGTCGCTCCATTCAATGATGTTCCTATGAAAGAACGACCCACGACATAACGACCTAGACTTTTTCGAGCAACGCCAGAATTGCAGATGATCTCGCACTCCTCAACCCTTCTTTACCCCTTTGACGACCGTGTAGCCCGCCGGTGGGCCACACTTTCCCTCGGCAGCGACACGTTTTTAGGGGTTTATTTTAGCATTTTATCTTTCGAAACTCACCGAAATATTTATGGATCGCGAGAATGCGCTATTTAATGATTATTGATGAAAAAATTGTTAAATAACGTGACAATGACGCATCTCATAATCGCGCGGTCGTTTCAAAGGGGTTACACTCTACGAAATCGGTAGAACCTCTTCTTCTCAAGTTCTGCCCGAAATAGTTCTTTCCTATGTTTCTATGCCTGCCTCAAAGGCCTCGTCCTAGTGACTTTCAATTTACCATAGGTCCGCTATTTCCGAGGCTTTCCTTGCAATCCTCGACTAAAGAAGACTGAACTTGGATTCCCTCAAATTTTAGGGTTCATTCGCTGCGAGAGATACCGGTGAATTGCCTTGAGAAATTGAAGTAATTTGTAGTCGAATCTTGTGGAGTGATCGTCAACCGGCTTCTGAGACCACATGATGTTTGATGATTAGCAATTGCAAAATCTAAAGTTCGAAACCAAAATCTGAGATTCTCATTGGAAGCGGTGTATATGGTCACAAATAGCTAAAAATGAAAGGGATCAAAGAATTGAGGATACCCTGTCGCTGAACATTGCAAACAGTGGATAGGAATTCTGGCACTGGTTCACGAAAACCGTAAGCACATCAGCATCATATAGGGCTGTCTTCTGAGACATTTATCCATGGCGAAATTTGGAATTATTCAAAACAAGGCAAGGGATCTAGGAACAATTTGTCCCACTGATTGCTTTCACCTGAACTCCTCATACGCCGCCTTCACACTAAACCGCCTACAACCTACCTTTATACCTAAAAGTTCAGTTTTGTCCTTTTCGAAGACTGATAGTTCTGTTGAAAGATGCCTGTCAATAATTGTGTAAGGCATACTTTCTGGTAAAGAGTAACTTTCCGAGAAAAAACTTATCCAACGGATAGAAGAAAGAACTAGTTCGTCAGCTGTTACAAAGGCGATGTTTATGAAGTTCAGTGGACAGGTGCGAATCCATTTGTTTGACAGTCGTTGTTGATTGTATAAACTATGGTGTGCCTCTCCGATCGTTTAAAACCTATTGGAAAAGAACTCCTAGACCACTTCTGACGTCCAAGTTCTAATGGGTTCTTCCCAAGAAGTTTAACAACACGGAGGCGGTTCTCTTCAAAATTTGCTATACAGTGGTCTTTCAATAGAAGGATATATGTAGGAACTTACGGTGGTCAGATCAGGCCAGATCTGCTAGAGGCGAAGCTTAAGCGGCTGCGAACTATGAGCGACTACCAAAAAAAACGGAGCCTAAATAAAAATTGTCGGTTTCCACAGTAAGGCCTAGAACTGGTTAAATGGAGAATAGGTGATGCCTTAGCATTCCAAGTAAATCGACTTTCATAACATCACGCTTGTGGGAGTTAACGATCGATTAATCGATTTTTTCGCTGTTTTTCGGAACTCTCTGATAAGGGCGTTTTCACATGGAGTTTCCGGTTTCATCTTCCTTATATGTAGAAGTGGGGCCCCAACGTCTGTTGTTCTGTCTGCACAGTATTGGATTATGTTTTGTAGCACGTATTTCCATAAGAACGGCAGGGAGTGGACCAAACACGGGTACTTGATGTGTGAAGATTGTAGTGGCAAACGCCAAATGAGGTTCATTCTCCTTGAACGCCTAGAAAAGATTATCGACTTGATCGTTCCAGAAAGAATGGTCCAGACCCACTTCTTAGCTGCATCAACGGTGCAATTTATGTCCAGGAAACCAATGTTACAAGTGAATTTGAACACTTAGTGATTTGCGACGAATTGCTTTGTCCAACGCATGGCTTACCCTTGTGGAGAGCGAAACTGACTCCAAAAATCTATTTTGGACGGTCCACGCCGACCTTATTCGTGTTCCCCGCGCTAGCCATCACTGGGCCGGTTACCTGATCCAGTCCATCTGACTTACATCTGCTTCAATGTTTGCACTAGGAGATGCATGTAGTCTCTAGATTGCGCTACCAGCTGTCTCGAGCTCAACCGAGGTCACTTAGTTAGCTAACCAAAGTGACCACCAAACACGCAAAGGATTACGGTACGCA